TTATTTCCAGAATATTACTTCCATTTTTTCAATACAATGTTCAAAATTGTTTCAAGAAAACAAATAATACAATTAACCTTATAACTTAAATTGTTTAGTATGTAATTTTGCTATGAAAATAAAATATTGATATCCAACATGAATAACTTTTAAGAGAAGTGGATTCAGAAAAAAAAGAACCAGAACCCTTTCTTTAATGTATAAAAAGATTCTTCAAATCTGAATCTTTAATAATATAATTATGTCTACAAGATTTTCTGTTTTCTATATTATTGGGATGATGACTTTTTCTTTAATTGTTATTATGAGTATTGTTTATATGATTGTTAATCAATCAAATAAAGGTATTAGATTGAATAAAGAAATAATAATGAAGCAAAAAATTAGATCAACATATAAAGACAAACTATTAGACTTATCTCATTTTAATTATGATGAAGAATGTGGAAAGCCATTTAAATATAAACCGAACAATAAAAGAGATTTGTTAATTTATGGAGGATATTTTCCTGATAAACAAAAATGGTTAAAACAACGAGAAGTTATAATAAATACCCTTTCAATAAATCAAAATGGAATTCCAAATGCCACAAAAATTTTGTTATTATGTGGAGAAGCTCCAGAAGCCAATTTCACTTCATTAATGAATTCAAAAGGGGTTGAAGTTGTTCCAGTGAAAAGTGATTTATTATACAATGGAGCAGTTCTAAGATTTATTGTGATACAAAAATATCTTGAAGAAAACAAAGAAAAATATGATAGAGTGTTTGTTGCTGATCTAAGAGATGTATTTTTCTTTGCTGATGGATTTGCTACGTTTTCAGATAGACAATTATATTTAAGTTATGAATGTACTCGAAATAACCGTGGTATTCTAAGATGTTTTACTTTGGACATACGTGTTAATAAAAGATGGATGAGTGATAGTGTTGGTAAAGATGTTGCAGAATTATACGCCGCAAATAAAACAAGAATTATTAATTCTGGAACAATTTTTGGTGGCACTGAAAAGGTTCTTCAGTTACTTCAAATTTATACTTCTCAATTCGATTATCAAAGAGTTCATATATGGGGATATGATCAATCTTTACTAAACCATATGTATTTTGCTGGATATTTCAATTCATTAAATGTTACCATGGCTACTTGTGATCAAATGTTCTGTTTTGATATGAGAAATGGTTGTTATTATAATAAAAAAGAAAAATCATTATTTGTAAGAGGGACTAAGTGTTCCCCAATTATTAGACATAAAATTGTTTCCAAAAATCCTTATTTCTATCTATATTGAATTTGATATAAACTCATTATATCATTACAAAATTCTTTGATTATTATTGTTTTCTTTGTTATTCTCTAATTTTTAACTCATACATTTTTTTCTGAGTTCTTTGTTTCATTCTCATAATGAGTTAGCATTTTCATAATATTAAATATCAAGAATAGTTCCTGTGGAAAATTGTCTTGATTATATTATGTCCCTATTCTCTTTTCTACTTGCTATGTCTTGTTCATTCACTCCAGGTCCCATTGTACTGGATCCATCTAGACTATTCTTTCCTATACTTTCTTGACCTTGTTTATTTTGTCCCTTTCATTCTCCATTTGATATAACCGGAGTTCCTTTATTAACTTTTGTTGTTTTGTTGTTTCTGATTCATTTGTTTGTCTTGTTTTACTTTGTTCAATTATTGTTGGACTTGTTGGTAGTGTTTTGTGGTTGTGCTGGTCATTGACTATTTAGTTGTGTTTTTTTTTTCAGATATTTCTTAACCATGGTTCTTCTTACCACTTTCTTCTCTACATAGTGCTTCTTTATATTTTGATTCTTTATATACATATTCACCTTTAAAATGTATAAAAATACATTAAACACTTGTTTAATATTAGTAGAATAAAAATGATTTTCAACATTTTCAATATCTTTACTTGAAATAATACCATCCTAGATTCTTACTATTTATAGAAATAATATTTCATTAATCCTAATACTTCTTTATTACCTTATTCCTCTATTACTTTGTCATAATTACTCATTATAATATTTAATAATATTATTATGTATCTATTTCTTTATTATATCATTTCAAAGCTCTTCCTTTTCTATATTCAATACATCTTGATTTATCAGCACTATTAATATTTTTATTTAAATTAAAAATTAAAATAATATTTTGATGGTTACTAACATCTTTAACTCATTAGTCCATACATAAAATGATATCTATTGAAGTATTAAATACAATAAATAATACAAATATCATCAAGTGTTTTGTATTTTTTTTTCTTCTTTTTAAATATATTCTATTCTTTATTTTCATTTTATTCTTTTAGTTTAAATTGATAATTGATTCTCATTTCTTTTCCTCTATTTATTTTTATTATCATACCATATCTCAGCATCTTGTTAACGAAAAAGAAAAATATTGAAACCCTTTATTTTATTATTTTACAGCATTTGTTCTGTTTTATAATTCAATAAATAATAAAATAGAATACCGTGAAATATTAAGTTAATATTTAGTTAATATTTATTATTCTAGGATAAACAAAAAATAAAGAAAATAATAAAATATAAAAAATAAATATTTATGTTTAATTATATTATTATTATAAATTATTTTATAATGATATTAAGTTCTGTTCATAATTCAAATTATTATTATTGTCAAATATACTTTATTCATTATTCCTTAATTCGTTATTTTATTAATATCTTTATTATATTCATATCAGTTGTTTTTAATATATCCCTATCATTATATTTTAGTTTTGATTCTATTTATTAATATATTGAAATAATTATCCATTGGCTTATTATATTAGAACATAAACTTTTCTTTATTTTATTCTTTACTATTTTCTATAATAACAAATGAAATTTGTTATAATAAAATATTCAATATTTCTTTGATTATTTATCGATTTATTTTACTTATTTATTAAACATAATTTGATTAATTTTTATATAAAATAAGATGATTATGAACATACCAGTTTTAATAAAAAATAAATAATAATATTCATTTCATTAGTAATAGTTCAATTTAGTGTAAACTATTCTAGTTATTAATTCCAATAACTTTATTTCTCATTCCCTCTTATAAAAATGGCATTTGGCTATAATTTGATTTTCTTTTATTATTTCTTTATACACATATCACTTCAAATTAAAAATAGTTCCAATATGAAAATAGAATAAATAATGAATCCAAATAAACTAGTTAATTACTAGAATTAGAAAAACAAATAATAATGAAGGATAAAGATATGTTTTATTCTATTATGACAAGTCATTAAGTTCTTAATTTTTGAAATTTTCTTGTTATCCTTAGCTCTCATTAAAAACCTATTTATGATTATTTTATTTCATTGGTTATCAATAATATTCACTCTGTTAATCAATTAAAATATTCATATTTTTATAGTACTTCTTTACCTTTGTTTTTTCATGTCATTTTAATAGTTTAATTTTTCACTTTCACTGATTTTTATATAAGTCTTTGTATTTGCTATTTAAATTGTTATTATTCTACTTTTTTGTTTGTTAGACTAATATTATTTAGAATAAATACGTTTATTGTCGTGAATTAGCCAGTCACCCTCTTATCTCTTTTTTTACATATTCATCTATTCACCTCTAGTTAGGTTGTCAGTTTTACAGATTAAGAACAGTAAAGAATAAAACAAAAATAATAAATTAGTGGTGAAGATGAAGAAGATAAAGATTAGATATTTTAAATGAAGAACGAGAACAGATTGGGTGGTTTTCATCAATATAAAATGAAGTTTGGACGTTAGATAGTGAGCATTCATTTGTGCCGTTAGAACAAAACACCATGTCAAGACCATTCTTTCCTGTTATCTTGATCCAATTATCATCATCAACAAAACTGATCATTGCGTCAACACCAAACTTCTGATTTAGAAGTAATACTTTTAAATCAGCATCTTCACCTTTCACCCATAAGACATAATTGTCAAACCCGAGAGGTAATTCTGCACTAATTTCTTCTTGAATATAAACACCAAAGACTTCACCAGTTTCTTCTTTCCATAAAATACAAATATTATTTCTTTTAACTAATTGGGTTAAGAATGCTTCTTTATCATTAAAACAATTAAAATCTTTAATCTCCTCACAATACTGAGTGCCAGTTAATCTCATAATTGCCTTTTTGATATCTTTTGAGATGATTGAATCTGTCTGTTCTTCACAATGAGAAGTCTGATTAGTATTATTTCTTAAAGAATGAACAAGTTGTAAAACTAGATTCAAATCAATAGACTTTTTAATTTCATTAACTTCAACCTGTTTAAGTGCTTCATCAATAATAGATTCTTTGCCTTCAAACAACCCTTTTTTCTTTTCAATTAGAATGTTTTTGAGTTGTGTTCCTTTGATGAGCATACAATATTGGAATAGTTCATCATTCTCAAGTTCATCTAAATATGTTATTACATTGTTCTGATTCATTGAGGCTTTCTTTAATTCTTGAAGATGAGATTGTGAAATATGAAAATACTCTGTCAATATTCTATTTTCAATTTCACGATTAACACGACAAAGA